TTTAATTCTTACAATATGGTATCAGAGCAGCTAAAATATCTGGACTAATGTTCTATGAGGCTCTGTTTTATTCTAGTTTATTATTATTTTGTTTTCCCAGAATCTCTCCCAAGAACCTCTGATCATCCAAGAACCTCCTACTCTTCCCTCTACTCTTCCCTGAACTTCTCAGAACCTCCTGCTCATCCCAGAACGTTTTCCCAGAACCTTAGATATCAGAAGCAATTGGGTAACTGTCAACCCTTCTCACCTCCTTCACCATCTGGTTCGCCTGCCCCCGTCGACCGAACACCCGAAGTCCGCACGCCCAAATCATCGCGCGTGAGTTACACGCGCCGTCGAAAGCTTCCCCAGCCAACGCACGCGCTGGCGCGTGAGGCTGCGTTTCTGGTCGGAGATTTGATCGGAACTCTTCGCCCGAGACTCGCTTGAAAATCCTCTACCAGGTATACTTTACTTCTCTCGTTCTTTCTTCAGCAAGGGATGGGTATCTGTGGTTGCCTGGTGGGTCGCTGGGATCTGGCATCGGACTTCTGCTGCTTCCTCTGGTTGTTCGCATCTGCTGGGATCTCGCATAGGTATTTGTGAACGACCGCAGGCTTCTTCACTGATTCTTCGCATCTGATGGGCACGTTTATAAGCCAAGCAAATTACTTATTTTATTCTCCAGCTTTTGAGTCCACAAAACGGAAAAGCTGCTGTGAGTTTATATATTGAATGTGTCTCCTTTTGTTTTTCTTTTTTTTACCTAATTGCTGACTTCTAAAAGAAAAAGGAAAAAAAGAAAAAAAAAGAGGAATTATGTCTTGTACAAGTAAATTTGATAGAGGAGTAATATCCAATTACTGTAAGAAGCCCGGGCACTTGATCAAAAATGCAGAAAATTGTTGTTCAAAAATCAAGGAAATCATCTTGCTCATGTTGCTTTCGCTACCAGTTCATCTGATGGATCAATTGCTATTTCTTCAGACGAGTATGCTAAATTTATTTGCTAGCAAGAATGTCTAAAACATTCCTCTGTCCTTATCTCAGTAGTCGCAAATTCAGGTATTTCAAACACATGTCTTGTTTCATCATCCTCGAAATGGGTCATTGACTCAGGTGCCACAGATCATATGACCGGTAATCCTAGTCTATTTTCATCATTTCACTCATATTTACCTACTTCTAGTGTCACTTTAGCTGACGGGTCTACCTCACCCGTTCTTGGATCCGGTACTGGCATCGGACTTCTGCTGCTTCCTCTGGTTGTTCGCATCTGCTGGGATCTCGCATAGGTATTTGTGAACGACCGCAGGCTTCTTCACTGATTCTTCGCATCTGATGGGCACGTTTATAAGCCAAGCAAATTACTTATTTTATTCTCCAGCTTTTGAGTCCACAAAACGGAAAAGCTGCTGTGAGTTTATATATTGAATGTGTCTCCTTTTGTTTTTCTTTTTTTTTACCTAATTGCTGACTTCTAAAAGAAAAAGGAAAAAAAGAAAAAAAAAGAGGAATTATGTCTTGTACAAGTAAATTTGATAGAGGAGTAATATCCAATTACTGTAAGAAGCCCGGGCACTTGATCAAAAATGCAGAAAATTGTTGTTCAAAAATCAAGGAAATCATCTTGCTCATGTTGCTTTCGCTACCAGTTCATCTGATGGATCAATTGCTATTTCTTCAGACGAGTATGCTAAATTTATTTGCTAGCAAGAATGTCTAAAACATTCCTCTGTCCCTATCTCAATAGTCGCAAATTCAGGTATTTCAAACACATGTCTTGTTTCATCATCCTCGAAATGGGTCATTGACTCAGGTGCCACAGATCATATGACCGGTAATCCTAGTCTATTTTCATCATTTCACTCATATTTACCTACTTCTAGTGTCACTTTAGCTGACGGGTCTACCTCACCCGTTCTTGGATCCGGTACTGTTGTACTTGGAGTTTATATTTACCTACTTCTAGTGTCACTGTTCATGAGTCGGCTGGTCTTTATATATTTTGGATACATCAATCACAAAAGCTATCTCTTGTCTTGGAGTTGGAAATCTATTAGAAGCTCATTACCGATTAGGACATCCATCTCTCCCACTAATGAAGCAAATATATCCTCAGTTTAATAAAGTGTCATCTATACAATGTGAGTCGTGTGAGTTTGCAAAACATCATCGTACTAGTTTAAGTCCTCGACTTAATACTGATGTTTGGGGGGCATGTCCTTTTGTGTCCAAATCTGGTTTCAAATATTTTGTTACATTTGTTGACGATTATTCTCGTATAACATGGTTATATTTTATGAAACGTCAATCAGAGTTATTTACTCATTTTTCTGCATTTTGTACTGAAATTAAAACTCAATTTAATGTTCATGTTCGTGTGTTGAAGGGAGACGATGCCCAAGAATATCTCTCTCCTCCATTTAAATCTTTTATGCTTCAAAATGGCATTATTTATCAAACTTCATGCGTAGACACACCTCCTCAAAATGGAGGAGCTGAAAGAAAGAATCGACATCTGTTAGAAACAACAAGAGCTCTTCTATTCCAAATGAATGTGCCTAAACAGTTTTCAGCAGATGTCGTGTCTACCGCATGTTTTTTGATAAACCGTATGCCATCTTCTATTTTAAACGGTAAAACTCCTTATCATTGCTTATTTCCAAATAAAGAGCTTTTTCCCATCCCACCTAAAACATTTGGTTGCACTTGCTTTGTTAGAGACGTTAATCCTCATCTTACAAAATTAGACCTCAAATCATTAGATGTTTTTGTCCAAGTACAGGTCAATATCTTGTTTCCATTGATGCATCATTTCATGAAAATACACCTTTTTTATCATCCAAGACATTCATGGGGGCAATGATGAAATACTCATTTACTCTGTCACTGTACCGGAATCTACACCTTATGTAGTTATTCCACATGTTACTGTTCCCGACCCCAGACCTCCATTACACTTGATTTACACCCGTCGAAACAGAGCACCCGATCACCCTCCACCTGTGACACCTGTGATTACTTATCCTGATATTGGTCCGTCCTTGAGCTCATGTCCTGAACCGGTACATGCATCTTCAGATCTCGTCTCTACATCAGATCTTGACCTTCCGATAGCACTACGTAAACGTACACGGTCTTTAGAAGATCCGGAAAGATATAGACAGTTGGTTGGAAAACTTAATTATCTCGCAGTTACCCGTCCAGATGTTGCGCCGTACTCCGTGAGTGTAGTAAGTCAATACATGTCATCTCGACAGTTGATCATTGGAATGTTGTAGAGCATATATTATGTTACTTGAAGGGGACACTGGGACGAGGTATTGTTTATCAAAATCATAATCACATGAGAATAGAATACTTTGCAGATGCTGATTAGGCTGGATCTAAAGATGATAGAAGATCCACATCTGGCTATTGCGTCTTTGTTGGTGATAATCTCGTCTCTTGGAAAAGTAAGAAGCACAATGTGGTTTCTCGTTCGAGTGTTGAATCAGAATATCAGGCTATGGCACAATCGGCATGTGAGATAATCTGGATAAACCATTTATTGAGTGAAATGGGATTGAAGACACCAAGGTCGGCTAAACTCTGGTGTGATAACCAAGTTGCTATACACATTGCCCACAATCCAGTGTTTCATGAGAGTACAAAACATATTGAGGTCGATTGTCACTTTGTTCGAGAAAAGATACAACAAGGATTGATCTCTACAGGATATGTGAAGACTGGATAGCAACTTGGAGATTTGTTCACTAAAGCACTAAATGGAATTCGTTGGTTACTTGTGTCACAAGTTGGGCATGATAAATATCTATGCTCCAACTTGAGGAGGATTGTGAAAGACGTTAGAATATTCTTTAGAATATGCTTTAGAATATTATTCTATCTTCAGAATATGATTTAGAATATTTTAGGAATATACTCTAGGATATTATTATTGTATAGAATCTTAAAGGAATATTCTATCATTGTAATGTATATATATAAGGACTTAACTCAACTTTAGGAATATATATCCTTGTCCCATACCATATTTGGTAATATTTGTGTGGCTAACTCATTCTTACTTTATTCCCACTATCAATTCTTTATCAACCACATAACTCGACTTTTCTTAAAACCGCACCACTCTTTTGTCTCAATCTTAGAGGGGCAGAGGTAGTAATATTTAATCCTATTTTTGTCCAAATTGAATTCAAGTCCTATTTTTGTCCGTGCATAAGACAATGTTACATTCTCTCTCTAAAAACTTGGTCAAATTTGACCAACACGGAGAATAATAAAGTAAAAATTGTGTGGTTGAGGTTTGTGCAGAAGAGAGAAAATTAATAGGAACCATAAATTCTTTAATTAAAAGTGAAAGTCGCAAAACAGAAATAGACATATAAAAATAGAAAAAAAAATCAAAATACATAAATAATTTCAAAACGTTAAAATAAAAAATAAAAAATAGATAAATACTTTTATGAAACATTATACAGTATAGGGGACTAAGCGATGAATTTGGAATAATTGAAGGATCTATTTGGATCTTTACTCTTATTATTTTTATTACTAGTACTATTACTACTACAAGAATCCTCATCATCAGGGTTGTTCACTTTGTTTGGTGCCAAGGGGAGTTCAAATCCCGCCAAAGGCGGCCGACCACTTGGAGCTAATTTGCAGATAGGATTAGGATCCTCTCATTATTTGAGCATCTTCTGACCAAATTATGAGATTATACGGATCATTGAAAAGGCTAACTCCTTAATTAATGCATTCATCAGCTAATCAAGGGCTTAGTCCATTAATGGCTAAACCCATCCCTGGTTTGCTCAGATCATTCGAGGATTTAACACCATACAGGCAAACCCATCATATAGGCATCATGAGCTACAAATCCCACAATTTGTATACTCATCCAAGCCCCCCCCCCCCCCCCCCCCAAGGCACAGAGGAGTGCATATGGCAACATTATTAAGAGTAAGGGGAGATTAAAAATGATATATTTAGTTATCTACTTATCTTACCGTTTCCATGCCCAAAATAAAGAAATAGGTCATGTCTCTTCAAGGCTCCAGTCAGTTCGTCAACGGTGGGCGCAACTCCGCTCGTACCCTGTGCAACCAAAAATGACATTAGCAATTCATTTGAAATCAATTTTCTAGAGCACATGAACTTCAGCTAAAACTGTCAAATGCCATCAGTATACATGAATGAAAGAATTCATTTAATGTGATGCTCATCAGTTGCAACTTTAGATGTTTTCACTGAGACTTGATAGTCTACCTCCGTCCCTAACTTTTCTTCTTGCTTTAAGTTGGCACGCTTATTAATAAGGCTTTTCGGAATACGCTTATTATGATTGCAGTTCATGTAGAAAATGAAAAAGTGTGGGTCACACAATGCGTTCCTTAAAAGGGAATGGGAAAAAATTGGGACATCCCAAAAAGAAAAGTGAAAAGAAAATTATGGGAGGAAGGGAGTATTTGTTTGTTCTGGCTAATTCACAGCACCGGTATTCCCCCCATGCCAAAAACAGCTATTTTAAACCTTAATTTAAGTAAGTTACTTATGTACCAAAAACGATTCCAGCTTGAGCAAAAGAAGCTAATTTTCATATGGTTGAGGTACTTTTTTCAAAACCAAAAAGTGACCCAAATAATTTAAGGATGTTATGTTTTGGCAAACAAACAAAAAATTTTAAACATAGCAAAAATTGTGGTTTCAAATATGTGTACCTTAGAAAACTAAAAAATTATACTTTGAAGAAACAAGATTTTTTGTACACATATTAGTCTTTAAGTGCAACAAAAAAAGGAATACCTCAAAGTTTTTATCATTAAACCAGCCCTCAAATGTAGCCTGGGTGAAGCTAAGATCACCATCAGGGTTCAAGACATAATACGCATCTAGGGGATCAACTAATGGGATGGAGTTCAACAGATTCCCCTTTTCGATAGCTTCTTGGTGGAGGCAGCGTTTGACTAGTGTTGCATTGATGGCACCAACAGAAGGCATCCGGTAAACCTCTTGATCTCTTAATATTGGCAGGTTCTCCCATGGAAGCATCTGCAAGTAGACGTGACTCACGTGAGTAATGAAATGTCTTAAGAAGAGCTAAACATAAACTCTTCATTTTCATTTTCATTTACCCCAGTGCCGCAAAGGCTCCCACCTACGGTGGGGTAAGGGGGGGTCGGATGTACGCAGTCTTACCCCTGTACTAAAGCACAGAGAGACTGTTTCCGGATGACCCATAGTGAAAATCCCATCCAAAATTGCATGGACTGACTGCTGCTTCATGACAAAGAAGCGCAAACAGTTTAGTGAGCCATTTTGTTTTATTCCATCATAATCTCAAGCCAAAAAATAATGAATCTTTGGCTCCATTGCAAATGATGGAAACAGCTAAACATAAACTCTATGCAAATAAAAAAGATGACAATCGGACTCAATATGATTACCAAGAAACAAGTGCAAATCATTTGAAACAGGTGCAATTTGGTTACCTAAAGTGTTGGGTCCCTTCTTAATTGGAAAATTTCAAAAAAAAAATCTAGAGAAAAGTATTTTTAGGATGTCCATAAAAAACATAAAAAACCAGACCAGGAAGCGACCCGGTCGAATGATCGAGTCACGGGTCAACCCAGACCCAGCAGGCCAACCCGGTCAACGCCAGAAAAACCGGTCAACTTTTATGTACAAACTTAATACTACCTCCGTCTTGTTGGAAGGTTCCCATAGTAAAACGACATGATTATTTAGGCAATAATTAAATAAAGTACTTCGAGTATATTTTGAGAAATAATTTTAATAGATAAATATTATAATGTAGTTAGTATTGATAATTGTGATGTTATAAATGTATTATTTTTAATATTTAATGATTAATTTGTCACTTGAGATTGTTAATTGTTTTCTAAAATGGAAATGAGAACCTTTATATTGGACGTCCAAAAAAAGAAAGTGGGAACCTTCTAATAGGACGGAGGGAGTAGTAAAAACATATACCAATATACTGCGTATAAAACATGAAAAAATAACTACTATTCACACTAATAAATTAATTTTAGAACTTAGTAAGCAATTTTGTTATATATTCAAAAATATTATTTGTTTTAGTTTTTAAAATATTTGAATATTTAAATAGTCTTGAGTAAGTAAAGTATTCATATTTGAATACTTCATAACTTTTTTTTAATATTTATTATTAAAATATAATCACACGTCCATCATATACTAAAAATATTTTTAGGATTTGAATCAATACATAATGTTATTAGATATATATTTTTACATCTATGAAATATTTAGATATAATTTTGTCTCAGAAGTAAATATTTAAATATATCAAACACGTTTTTCGAAAGTTAATAGTACATCTGTCCCACTAACATTGGGACATGGGGAGGTGGTACGGCTATTAAGAAAAGTGAGTTTAAGTGGTTGATATTGAATTGATAAAGTAAGAATAGAGTAAGAATGATTTAGAATCACACACATTTTACCAAATTTGATATGAGACAATCTTAATAGGACGGACCGTAAATGAAAGATGGGACAATCTTAGCAGGCCAGAGGGAGTATGAACTACACATTATAAATCTAAAAAGTATTGCACAGAGTATAAACATTTTTAACTTATAGTTCAATGTTATATTCATTATATGATAGTACAATAGTACATGTAATACGTATTATAATATTATAATAATAAACTCCCTCTGTCCATTGGACTTTGCCAACTTTCTCTTTTTGGTTGTCCGAAAAAACTGTCATTTTCCAATTAAAGCAACTAATTTGAAGTTATGCTCATTGGGATTGGAATTAGCAAAGTCCATTGGGACGGAGGTAAAAATAATTAATACTTTTTAAGTTTTAAAAATATCATGTATTAAATTCTTGTCAAATAAACAAACCTCGATCACGCAGTTTTCACTTTTCTTATTTCTCACCTAACTTGGAATTGGCAAAGTCCATTGGGACGGAGGTAATGATAATTATTACTTTTAAGTTTTAAAAATATACAGTATTAAATTCTTTTCAAATAAATATATTAAACTGTATCAAATATATTTAAGGAGCTTGATATACCAACAAATTGCAAGGGCAACATGGATGGCCGGACAACAAATTCAAACGTACACCAGGGATCATAGCGGCAAAGCCCAAGAAGAAAATTTTTAAAACTGTGTGATTTGTCCCGAGCCCAAACGGGTTTTCGAGTTCTTCCGGTTTCTGGCGTATTTACAGTTCATATGGTAACCAGACTGGGTAATGTGACGGTTCACCTGTTTCAGGTCCGACCCTGCTGGTCCGGTCCGGTTTATCAAACATGGCTAAAGTGTGAGACGGTTTTATAAAATATCAATTCATGTAGTCGTAATATTCTTTTAAATGGTGGAAGAACCTCCACATTGGAGGGCTATAAACTCTTGAAATCTCTATATAATGTTATTGTTTTAACGGGGAATTAGTAGGAAAAATCTTACCTTCACAACTTGAAATAGGAATTTACAGTTCTAAATTTTTAAAACTTCTTTGTACCACATTACACCATTTAACTCCGCCATGAGATAATGTTTGGTACTATGCATGTCCTAAGTCAGGATAGAGGAGGGTGTTGTGATAGGCGTGTGACGGCTAACAGTACCACTTAGTCACATCACATGATATGAATCGAAATATGAATATTGGTATAGCTAGGTCGTCACCCATAAACGTCGTGTCATCCCTCCATCTGGGGGGGGTGTCAAATATGCAAAGACGCGTTACACTTCATAGATCTGGATGTGGTGATAAGAATGCTAAGGTTGCTAGGTCATTGCCCGGAAGCGACGCACCACTCCAATGGTGGGGGTCGATGTGATGTGAAGAAGAGAAGGTGTGGTGCTAGATTGCATTTTGGGACATGGATGTAGGCTCTCTTACTGGAAGATCATCTGAGGTAACCGAGGTTATGAGGAGGAATATCATCATAATGTGCGTGCAAGGAACTCAGTGGGTTAGAGAAAAGGCACGTGAGAGTAATGTCAGAGGTTTTAAGATGTGGTATTCGAGGAGAGAGGAACAGAAATTGAGTAGGCATTATTGTGGCGTGTGCTTATATGCTAAGGGTGTGGTGGAACTCTTTAGGATGAACGACCGCATCATGAGCATTAAGTTGGTAATACGATATGAGATCATGTCCTTAGTAAATGCCTATGCACCAGAAGTGGGATTGGATGTATCATCACTCAACAATTTTGGAAAGATCTTGAGAAAGTGGTGCGACGAGTGTTAAGGGGAGAGAAGCTAGTCATAGGAGGCGACCTCAACGGGCATGTGAGCCCAAGGGTGTGATGGTTTTGAGAGTACCTATGACAGACATGATTTTGGCACTAGAAATGAAGCGGGGAAGAACATTCTAGGTTTTGCCTCACCATATGAGTTGATTATAATGAAGAATTGGTTAAAGATAAGAGACTCTCACCTTGTGACCTACAGAAGTGGAGCTAATAGTACTCAAATTAACTATTTTTTAGTATGGACGACTAAGAGAACTAGCTACACTGATTGTAAAGTTATTCCAGGTGAGAATGTTGTCACTGAACATAGGATGCTTGTATTTTCATGGTAAGAAGAAAAGGCATGTTAAGGTACAAGTGGAGCCAAAGATAAAGTGGTGGAGGATCGAGGGGACTCCAACAAAATTTTGTGCACAAAATGTTGAAAGAAGATGTATGGTGTATTGATAATGACGCACATGTGGATGATGTGTGGTTATCAATGGAGCCGACCAATAACAAAGTGGCAAAGGATGTACTCAAAGAATCTAAAGGATGTATCATGTATGCCACCAAAAAAGACACATCTTGGTGGAATGATGAGGTGAAACAAGCAATAAGAGCCAAAAGGGAATACTACAAAAAGTTAGGCAAAAGTTGGAGCGATAAGAACATAGGGGAGTACAAGGAGGCTAAAAAAAGAAAGGAAAGCTGTAAAGGAAGCAAGAGGGAAAGTGAACAAGGAATTGTATGTAAAATAGAACTCTAAGGATGGAGAAAAAGATATTTACAAAATTTCTCGCCTTCATCATCGTATGACTCTAAGTGTGTGAAGTATGTCGATCAAAAGGTACTAATGGAGGACGAGGAAATAAAAGAGAGGTGGAGGTCATATTTTGATACCTTGTTCAACGGAAATAAAGTGCAAGGTATTAACGATTTTACTATACCAAAATATATAGTAAATCGGGACTTTCTGAGAGAGATCCTAACCACAGAAATTAAAGAGGCTCTGAGAAAGATGGGACGGAAAAAAGCAGTGGGCCCGGGTGGCGTAGTGATCGAGACTTGGAGAAGTTTGGGAGAGAAAAGCATTGAGTGGCTAACACGTTTCTTCAACATGATTTGTAGAAACAACAAAATGTCCATGAGTTGGCGAAAGAGTACTCTCATTCTCCTATTTAAACATAAGGGTAATGTACAAGGATGTGCCAACTATCGAGAGATTAAGCTTATGAGTCACACCATGAAATTTTGGGAACGAGTGGTTGAGCAAAGACTTCGAAAAAGTGTGAAAATTTCGGAGAATCAGTTTGTTTTTATGCATGGACGCTCAACAATTAAGGTCATTCACCTTCTTAGACAAAGTTATGGAGAAGTATAGAGACGTTAAAAAGGATTTACATTTGGTGTTAATTGACTTAGAAAAGACATGTGATAGGGTACTTCGAGAAATCCTTTGGTAGGCCTTAATTATAAAAGGCATATCACGTAAGTATATAAGTATCATCATGGATATGTTTGAGGCTTGTACTACAGGTGTATGTACTATTATTGGGAGGACGCAAAGTTCCCCATTACTATCAGTCTATCAGAGTGCACCAAGGATCGACTCTAAGTTCTTTCTTATTTGTTATAGTCATGGATGAACTTATGAAGTCAATTCAAGAAGATATATCGTGGTGCATGATGTTCGCTGATGATATTGTAATCATTGATGAGACAAAATCGGGTGTTAAAGCAAAGTTGGAAGTATGCCGGCAAACATTGGAGATCAAGGGTTTCAGACTGAGCCGAAGCAAGACTGATTATATGGAGTGCAAGTTTGGTGGAGATATAAGTGGTAGTAACAGTGTAATTACTCTTGATGACAAGGAGATATCGTTGTGTAATGGAAGAATGCGTCAGGATTTCAATGCGATTAAGGTATGTTGACTACACAGAAGGGTAAATTTTATCGAACAGCAATGAGGCCTGCATTAATGTATGGCGTAGAGTGTTGGACAGTGAAACAATGTCACAATCAAAAGATGAGTGTAGCAAAGATGTTTATGTTGTGTTGAATGTGTGGACATACTAGAAAAGACTGCTTGAGGAATGAGATAATCAGACAAAAAGTTGATGTAGCACTTATAGAAGATAACATGCAGAAGTCTCGATTCGGTGGTTTGGTCATGTGCGCAGAAGATCGAGGGATACACCTGTTAGACGACTTGAGAGGTGGTGAGAAGAGGCGGGTAGGAGAGGAAGACTCAAACAGACTTGGATTAGAGGATTCAGAACTCATATGCGTATTCTTAGGTTGGATAAGAGTATGGTTTTGGAGAGAGCAAAGTGGAAGGCACACATTCATGTGGACGATTGATCTCTTTACTCTCTTTTTCATTTATTGTTAACATTGTTTATCTTTATATGTTCTTATGTTATCTTTATATTCTATCTTTCTGATGATCTTTTGTCTTTTTATCTTTTATCTTTCTTATGTTCTTATGTTATTGTTATTTGATATTTATCATTATCTTATCTCTTTTATCTTACTTTATTTTTTATTGGGATAAGGGTCAGATAGGGCCTCGAACTTGGAAAAAAATGTCAAATAAGGCCATATTTAGGATGCTCTGTCCGGCTGACGCCATTTGGGGTGGTTTCCGGTGGAATTTTTTGATGAAATTTTTTGAGAATCTTATTCATTAAGTCTAGTTTACTCATATCAAATTTGAACTAAAACTTCAATCGGGAAGGCATACAAATGAATTCTTGAAGATAACTGTTCTTTTAACGGCGCAGTTATCTTCAAGAATTCATTTGTATGCCTTCCCGATTGAAGTTTTAGTTCAAATTTGATATGAGTAAACTAGACTTAATGAATAAGATTTTCAAAAAATTTCATCAAAAAATTCCACCGGGAACCGTCCCAAATGGCGTCAGCCAAACAGAGCATCCTAAATATGGCCTTATTTGACATTTTTTTCAAGTTTGAGGCCCTATCTGACCCTTATCCCTTTTTTATTCTTCTTATCTTTCTTCTCTTTTTGGCTCTGATATATTGGATTGATTCATGTTAACCGACCCTAAAATTGTTCGGAATTAAGGCTTGTATGTTATTATTGTTGGTGGTGGTGTACCACATACACCATTTGCATGTTGTTGGTGTACCACATTACACCATTTGCTCACAGGTAAAATATGAATATATTCTCGATATGTTTTTTTTACTCTCAAACAATAATTTTACAGTTTTACATAGCACAGGTGAGCAGTCCTATACTTCAAAAGATATTTTTCAAAAAAAATCACATAAAAGGCTAATAGAGTTGCACACTTTGAAACATACCTGCAAATCAAAGTCTAAAATGAGAATGCTTGGCTTTCGGTTTATGCATCCAGAGCCTTCCAGCTTGTCAGCCGCATCAAATATTGTTTTATATACTGCTTCTGAATATGTGCAACTTTTGGATAATGGTTGACATGTACCATCACCATGTCCACCTATGTGGCATCCATTAGTTAAAAGCAGCTGACAAATGCAGTCATCTTTCTCAACTGCATGATTAGCGCCTCCAAGAACTATCTTGAGAAGAGCCATATCAACATCCGATTTGTTTTCAAGTTTTAAATGTTCAACTACATTCATCAAAGATGAATCCAGGAGCTCACATCCGGACAACTCACCCAAAAGTAAGTATTTCCAAGGACCCAGCCATAGTTCCTCTAAATCCCTGATGAATGAACCAGATGAATAGTTTGGTCAGCATTTAAAGAAAGTACTTTTACGTATGGGTTGAAGTCAAATTCTCACCAGTAAATTATCTGTCCCACTTCAATAGGCCCACTTTGATATTTTTTGGTTTAAACCAAAGAAATTATCTATAATGTTGTGAACGCAATATAAAACTGTTAGTTTTAAGAGTGCTGTCATAAAATAACACGTTTTATAATTATTATTATAACATCTTTGAGCATAAAAGGTCAATTATTACCTATTAAAGTGGGACAGACATTAATATTTTAAGCAACTCAGATCATTCATTGCGCCAAATTTATAATCTTCAACCATGTAAACCAGATAAAGAAGTACTATGTTACTTACTGCAAAAACCTGGCAAGGGACTCATCAAGTTGCCTCCTTGACTTCCACCATAAAGTTGTGCTTTCTGATGTATCAGGACCAACCTCTGAGCACAAGTAACTCTTTTCCAATATGTCCCTAAATAATGGGGCCACATTATTAATTACACAAGATGATGCCCAATTGCAATGCCACTGCTTAGTAAAATCACTGGCTTGAACGGAAACGCTGGAGCATAGTTCCTCGGTGTCTGATGATAATTTATATAGGAGAAAGAAGAAGAATAAGCTCATGAATTTGCTCAAATGTGTTGGCATTGGTAATGCTGGCTAAAAATCATGTTTACCTTTTAAAACTGAATTTATAGGAAGAACTACTAAAACAGGATTATTTGTGGAACTCATCCGTGACAAAAGTATCCATGATTGAATAGGAGAAGGGCGGCATAACAGCTGACCCAGCAAAGTGGCAAGAGTACCAGCGATGAAGCTAATACAAACCACTGTAGCAGAAGGTAAGCTTTCAAAATATTTTAGAACAAAATCTTCAAGATTGTCAACTGATCCAGGTGCATTCCTATAGGATAAAGAAAGAGTAAAGAAAAACACATCAATGTGAATTCTAATAAATGAGAAACTTTATGGCAAAAAATACCAGAGTGTGCTGTGTTTTCTCTGATCGTCATTTGAGCTACAACAACCCTGAAAATTTTTCATGTCGAAATATTCAATAATAATAATAATAATAATAATAATAATAATAAAAGGCATGTAATATCATAATTTCAGAGAACTATTTCGCATCTTTAGTAAGGTCGGTCTTGAACTTCACCTACTTGAACTCGCTATTTATATTCTTTGGGGTTTACTGGTTTAGGGTGTGGAGTGCACATATTACTCGCCTCCATAAAGAGTGAAATTATATTTTTAAATGAAAAAATGTATTAGAAAATCTTTGGGTGCATAATGTGAGTCCTAACATTGCATGAAATAATAATAATAATAATAGTAATAACAATAATAATGTAGAAATAGCAATATTCAAGAGTGTTGATAGAGATCGCTCCAATTTACAGAGTTTATGAGAGCTAGAGATGAAGGAGACAGATTTACATAACAATGGAAAGCTACATATTATCTTAATTTTAATATTAATATTAATGTTAATATTATCTTATTTTACTATTAATATTAAATTCAGTGAATAAATTATTTTCCATCGTTTTGTAATTGATATAGAAAGTTAATTCTTCTTCCAAAAAAAGAAAGTTAATATTGTCTTATTTTTCTGTTAATATTAATTTCAGTTAATAAATTATTTTCCATCGTTTTGATAATTGATATAGAAAGTTAATTTTACATATTATCTCAATTTTAATATTAATGTTAATACTCCCTCCGTCCCCCAATTAAGTTCCCGGTTTGACTTCACACATATTAAGAAAATAAATTTGACTTTACTGTGGAGTGGACTATTTTGCACTGTTTGGACACTATTTTCCACTGTTTGACACTGTTTTGATGTAAATAATTTGCCAAATAAGGAAAGTAAGAAAATGTGAACTTAATTTAGGGACTGCCCAAAAAGGAAAGTGGTAACTTAATTGCGGGACGGAGGGAGTATTATCTTATTTTTCTGTTCATATTAGTTTCAGTTAATAAATTATTTTACATTGTTTTGATAATTGATATAGAAAGTTAATTCTACATATTATCCTAATTTTAATATTAATATTAATGTTAATATTATCTTATTTTTCTGTTCATATTAATTTCAGTTAATAAATTATAATGCATCGTTTTGATAATTGATATAGAAAGTTAATTCTACATAGTATCTTAATTTTCATATTAATATTAATAATTTAATGTTAATATTATCTTATTTTTCTGTTCATATTAATTTCAGTGGCCTTTTGGAGACCCATAAATGGGCTGATAAGCCTGAATTTAGAAAAAAATCACCAAACATTAATTTAATGGGCTGATTTGGCTGATTTTTATTAAAAGCTAAAAAAGTAGCCCATCCTTTACTTCTTTGGATGAATTTTATTATTAGACCATTAATCACTTTAAAGACATATTTATCCTTCTCGTAGGATACTTTATCCATGGTGTTTCACAACTTTAACGCATTATAATTATGACGTATGGAGTAATAACGTTAGTACGTACTCATGGTTGTTTTATTGCAATTTTTATGCATGTTTACTTGATGTTTTGCATTATAATTATGATGTATGGAATAATAACGTTAGTAAGTAATCATGGTGGATTTTCTTTGTTTTAACGTTGATGATGCTTTGATTTTTATTTATTTATTTTAATATAATTAATAAAAACTGTAATTTTTTACCTTAATTTGCTAATATTAGTAAACAGATTTTACTAGCAAAGCTAACATACATGTATTTAAAATATAAACAAACAAATACCCTTTTTGGTAAATATACATTCAATCAGCCACTTCAGCCGAGATATTACCAAACACTTTCACTTCAGCAATTACAGCCATTTCAGCAGTTTCAGCCATTGCAGTCCTTACCAAACAGACCCTCGGTTAATAAATTATTTTTCATCGTTTTGATAAATTGATATAGAAAGTTAATTCTACATATTATCTTAAATTTAATACTATCTTAAATTTCTGTTAATATGATTTTTTTTATATTATCTTAGTTGTCTGTTAATATGAAATTATCTTAATATTCTGTAAAGTTAATATTCTGGAAAATTAATAGTATATGGATAAGCCACGAGGTTAACATTAGTATTTTGTTAATATATAATTCGCTTTTTGTTTTTCCACCATATGTAGTTTTTCTAGTCCGGTATAATGTCGAGTAGAGACCCAGCGTGGAAACATGGAGATGAAATAAAACGAGTAGGGTTAAAAGGGAAGTCTTACAAATATCTAAAATGTAAGTATTGCTGTCAAGAGACCACAGAAGGGGTAAATAGATTAAAGAATCATCTTGCCTGCACCAGGAAAAATGTAAGACTGTGTCCGTCTGTTCCGGATAATGTAAAACAGGAGATGTTAGACCTTCTGAAGTTGAACGAGAAAACACAAGCAGTCCGAGACAGAGATCGTGAGGAGGTTATTAATAGTGGTTCATATTATCAGTGTGAACCCATACGGAGGAGATTCAAGTGGTGGTAGCAATACCCAACGAGGCATCCGGGGCCCTCTTAATAGATTTGTCACTGACGTCAAAGGTGACAATCAGAAGGAAATTCCTGCGGGTGAAAACGAAGCAAGCTGGCAGTGCTATTTAGATGTTGGTAGATTTTTTTTTTGAGAATGGCATTCCGTTCAACGTGGCCAATTCACTTTCATTTATTAACATGTGTCGAGCAATCGGTAATTAAGATCATTCAATCATTAGGAGGTGGTGTTGACACAAGACTGTCCCGGTACATGATCAACGGATAGCAATTCATGTTCTTAGCACCACATTCCAACACCCTGACTAGAGACTGAACTTCAAGAGCGATTTCCAACCCAATAGTCAACATATATAAGGAATCAAGATCATTCAATCTTTGTTGCTGATGCTGGAGGATGGAAGAATCAAGACAGAATCTGACAGTTTCCCTGTAGGGTGCCACTCACAAGCAACAAGAAAACAGCAGCTGATCTTCTACCCACAGAAAAAGAAATTGGCAAAGCGGGATCTTCCGACAGGAAAAACATATGTTGACTGAACATAACTTTCTGAGAGGGCAATTTATAGGCTTGAGGTCAACAGGCGGCTGCATCTACAGCTTTCAATTGGTGAATTTCATCAAATGCCTTCTCCTCAAAAGACTGGAGTTTGTTTTTCATATCACAGTTATTCAAAAAGCTGGGATCTAAATGCATCTCCTTAATTATTATGGGTTTTCCCTCTTTCCTTGACTTGTCTAAATCACCAGTCAGACCTCTCCTAATCACTCTGCATTCTCTGAACAATTCAATTATTAGTTCATCAGAGAAGTTGAAATTGCATGCCCCTATAGGAGTTGATGACACAGGTGCTTCAGTTGATGTCCACAGTAATTGGTACATCATTTCAGACCTTAAGACATTTGGCAAGTTTGTCTTCTGTACAAGCTGGGAAGAAATTATGGATTTTCCAACACAAGCAGTACTTGGAGGAAGTGTTACGAGTGAGGAATCGAGCAATTGCGCTACCTTCAGGTCTAATGGCAACTGTAGATTGCTCCTAGCGTTCATCGTCATCCTCAGTGAACGCATCTTCAGAGGAAGGTTGCCGCAGACCCATAACTCCTTGAGGAACGTTGAAGCCTGTGAACAGTGAAAAGTTGCTCGCGGCGGAACATGCGAACTGGGAGGATTGGCAAGCGCTGACACCTGCGGACGGGAATATTCTGCTTGCGATGAAGCTGGCTTACTGGGAGAAGAGGTTTGCGACCAAACCTGCTAACTCAGAGAAACGGTTCACGACTGCGAACTGTGAGACGAAGTTCGCGACTGCGAACTGGAAACAGCGGCTAACGAACGACTGTCATTCTGCTGGACCATTAAATTGCGCATCTCCGCAATCGTCTTGTTAATGTTTCGCAGTTCCTTACTGTTGCATTCCAGCTTCTGCTCAATCGGATCTAATCTGCTTTCCATATTTGTGAGCGTAACAACCATTTACAGGCAACAGGAATCGCGCTCCAATGATACCAATGATAGAGAACGCTCCAATTTACAGAGTTTTTGAGAGCTAGAGATCAAGGGGACAGATTTGTGTAACAAAGGAAAGCTTTGTATAACAAAATAGAGACATAATACAATGGCAGTTAAAGAGTGCCAACTCCTCCAAGTCCCAGGCCTATAGAATAATCCCAGCCTACCTCTTATTCTTCCCTCCCCTTCTATTTTTTATTCTTATTATAATTATTATTATTATTATTATTATTCTCAGCACTAATCTGCCCAGTTCCTATCAAGTGTCAACATTAGATGGTTAGAAAAGGGGAGAAGGGCCAAAATGGACATTAAGGCTATTGGTGGAGCTCAGGTTGGACACTAAACTTTTGTGTAGACCGAATCAACACACTTTAAGTTTTTGCCTCATACTTAGATTTTGGACAATGGTAATGTAAGCATTAAACTTATGGCTTTTCCTGCCAATTATATGATTACCAACTCCCATTTCTTCTCGATTAAAATATCCAATTCTAAGGCCACTAACAAGTTGCTGCATTCATCTTCTCGCCTATTACTCCCCCAAGGCGGCTATCAATAATTAATACTTCCTCTGTCCCGCTAAGATTGCCCCATTTTACCTTTTCTGTCCGTCCCACTAAGATTGTCCCATACCAAATTTGGTAGAGTTTGTGTGGCTTTAAATCATTCTTACTTTATTCTTACTTTATCGATTCAATATCAACAAAATACGCCACTTTTATTGGTCTGTGTGTCACTCCCTCTTGTCTGATTGTTAGTGGAACAGAGGGAGTAATACTATACCAATAACTCCTTTGGATCAAGCTGAAAACCCAAACCTATCCCTTAAAACTCCTCCCTCTAAGTCAACCCACAAAAATGCAGGCAATGCAATGGAGGAACTGACCATCCACATTCCCGGAGATTTGTGATTAAATCGAGGGGTTCAGGCTGATGAGAATAAACAGTACAGAAACTGATGTTAGTTATTGATCCTTCTTCAGGTAAATTTTCTCAGCCAATTAATTTAAACTAATGTTAGTTATTGATGGGAATAAACAGTACAGAAACTGATGAGTCCAGCAATGGAAGTAGTGCAGCTACGGTGAGTTAGTTTTCCATGATATAGAAGTAAGTTAATTATATGGCGGGACAGAATATCATAGAGCCCGCATGCATGTGCTCAATGACCAATATTTGTGTTATATACCAGTTTATAAAGGAGATTTAAGGCCTCTGAGTTGCTTTTCCCAGCATCTCTTAATTTTAGGGTGCAACCTAATGTGGTTAGAACCAGTGTTTATCACAGCCATTTTGTGGGTGCCCAATTATGATTCAAAAGGATTATTTTTGTGTTAATTATGTCCAACCATGGTCTGATCAAAAGTTTAATAGCCAAACCAAACTTTTAAGTCCATTCTACCTGTTCTTCATCAGAAAAATAGAGAACTAAACCTTTTATAGTTTAATAGATTAAACCAATTACTTGGTTGAGTGTATAACAATTTGTGCTTTTGAGTTCAAACTTAAAAAGGGACAGACCACAAGTTTGTCTTATGGCAGGGTTTGGAGGGCTTAGTATATATCTTGATATATACTTCCTATAATACATTTGAGATTTTATATATAAAGGAAGATTGACATAATACATCACCGTATAACATTCTAATCACTTTTTATTAGTTTTCAGAAACATTGTATTGATCGGGATATAGAGTATAGACCAAGTCCTTCAAACCCTCCATCCAAACACACCCTTTAGAGGCAGCATGTATGTTCATGAACAATTTGAGGTTTTGAATGCTAAGACTTGCCCAGAACATGAAAACAAGGAAGAATAGGTTCTGGATGCAACATTTATGGATGAACTCACTTGATACTGAGCAGGAGATCAAATGTAGCCTCCCCACTAACAAAGGTACCCAAAGTGTACTTAAGATGTGTATAAAATTACAGTTGTCTGCTTAAAGGTGGAATGTAATGGTTCCATATAATTATAATTGCATTTACTTAATATACTTATAGTAATATAACTTGAAAAAAGGAAACATCAATACTTGATTAATCTAACTCTAATCTTAATTCAACTTTGAAAAGCAGGAGACGGGAAATACAAACTATACATCAATTTCCATAATTGATTACTAAGAGCTCACACAGAAAAGTAAGAAACTATACCTTAAAATCTGAAATATCTTGTCCATTATGCTGCTTCTTTAGGGTTGAGAAGAGCTGCAGGTTGAAATGAGCACCAAGTGAGGCTTGATGGAAGAATGATGCCCATTGCCTTTCAGAGACTACACTGTGAGATGGTACAGCGAGATTCTTGATGGATGTTGAAAGTACATAGACTGTAGCAAGCAGCCTCGATACCTATTCGTAAAACATCGCAACTCATTTTAATAATTTGAAAGAAACACTCTTTGAAAGTTATTATCCATAATCACACCTTATCTTAATGTAGAAAATGTGAAGTGGATGCTAGAGAGAATATGGTTTCTACCTTTTGAAAATGTAAAGGAACCTCACGGCTCTGAATAAAGGCTACTTTCAACCAATAGACTATCTTTGATATATTCACAGAAGAAAAGTCACAATTACTTTTACAGGATAGTTTCCTGTTCGATAAAGTCCAACAAAAGACAACTGTTAAATCATCGAATGAAACGGAAGATAAATGAACATGCAATTGACTGTTCTACAAAGGGAAAAAAATGCATGTTCAGGGAACAAAAGTTGCCAGGTGAAGAAGATTCGAGCATCAAATAGTATATCAATACTGAAGATAACATTTGCAACTGGTCATTACGCAGAATGTACCTAGAAGATTATTTATGAACCTAAAGAATATTTGCATACAAAAGATCGCATGGCATCCAATACATTGCATTAAGTATATAAGACTTTGCATAACAGATTAACAGATCACTCATGGCTGAATAATTACATAGTAACAATCTTAACCCATAAAGCTTCCTCCAGCCACTAAGTGATTCAGCAAATAAAAAAATAAAACTTTTCTTTTCAAGCTAATGATCTGAAGGCCCATTATAGGCTTATAGCACTAGAAAGTCAAGCTAATGGCTCAGTTTAGAAATTTAGATAAAAACTAAATACCCCCTCCGTCCACTACCTCTATCTCATTTCTTTTCGCGTGTCACACTATGTCCGTCTCATACCATATTTGGAAATATATTGGTGGTGCAAATTCATTCATACTTTACAAACTCAATAAGAACATAGTTCAACTTTCCTTAGCATGTTTCCACTTTCTCAAGTCCCAAAGATAGAGAGATGGAAACAGTAACTAGTATGGCAATGTATCAAAAAAACTTAAATGCCAAGTAAGTCCACGCTTTTCAACAATGAGTGCTAATTGCAAAATGGTTGATAGTGAGATGGAAACAGTAACTAGTATGGCAATCTATCAAAAAAACTTAAATGCCAAGTAAGTTCACGCTTTTCAACAATGAGTGCTAATTGCAAAATGGCTGAGAAGCCTGAGATAATCTCTTCATTAAAGTGGCTTACAGATACTGTTATAGGTTTCTTGACAAACATTCATAGTTTTCAATGGCGCAAATAGCGCGCCATAAAACGCCATTCACGGCCTGAAGAGGTTCTGCCACAAATATGCTTCATGGCAACCAGTATACATGTGGCGGCACCCAATGTTCTAAAAGGCATTAGGCGCTAGTCGGGCACCAGTCCAGCGCCTAGCGCCTAGGTGGCCAGGCAGGCGCCCAAGCGGGGACTAGTCGGTAACATAGAAATGATAGTTTTATCAATTTTTTTGCATAAATATGATTAGTAATGTTGTGTTTGTGTGTGTATAAAAAAAATTACACACACATACACATTAACATGCATGAATAATGGAGTTGGAACATTTAATAACATATTATACCTACTCATCTAACTTCATTATGTAATAAATAATAATAACACTTTATATATAAAATTGTATAGTTTCTATCTTAATCTACAATTAGTAGCTTTCTTCGTATGTGTTGTTAAAGTTAAAGTTACATATATATCTTTTTGAATACTAAAATAAAATAAAAAAGAAAAATAAAATGTTCGACAAATTTAGACGTTCTGGCGGCCGATTAAGCGCTTTGGGTAGTCAACTAGGCACCTTAAGTGGCCAACTAATTCACCTAGGTGCCAAATAAATAAGTCGGAACGCCTAGACTAAAATTGGGGCGCCCGATCACCGCCTAGCGCCTAGGCGGGGACTAGTCGGGCGCCTAGAGCGATTTTTAGAACAGTGGCGGCACCATAAGTACCGCATCGCCACGCCATATGTGCCATATAGATTTTAACATGTTAATTTAATTATTGTTAAGCTTTTGCCCTTATTACTAACAAACCAGTCAGCCCACCCATAATATAAATAAAAACTCTAACAACCAAACTGAAAAGAGACTAGCGAACATAGAATTGAAGCCAGAGAAGCTGCGCAGCTAATGTCTCAGAGAGAAAGCTGTGCATGACTAAAGAGGAACTGCACTTCCACCAAACGACAAAAGAGAAAATCTGAGAATGTCTACTGCCCTTTTTGGGGGACATTGTGACAAACCGAAGGAAAAGAATAACAATGACTTGAAATGCAGATTCAGATTATGAGGAGTGTGATAATTGATTATGATTAGAGCATAACCATCGAACACGAACAAGTTGACATATTTTGGAATATTTGAAACCTTTTTTGGATATTAAGTTTTATCTTGGGAGCTACGTTAAAGTTTAAACTATTTAAACTTGACATACTTAGATTAATATGTGGTTATTCAACTCTTTTGCTCATTTTTGGTGGTTGAATTATAGATTTATATTGTCTATGATTTATATTTTATTATTTATTGTGTCATGTGACGATGCCATAAATATCTTATCACCATCGCCGCAGAAAATGCCTTGGCGCCATCGCTGTCGCAGTATACCATGACAGCTATGCAAACATATATACCAAGATTTGAGATTCCATTTTAAAAGATTAAGTTGATAGAGAGAATGACTCAAAGGCTTATATTCAATAGTTAGCCAATGTGCGGCAAATTCTTCACACCCACCTCAAGGCAAGTTTCTCGATCATGCAATCTTTCTTTTCCCATAGGGCACACATTCTTAAGATTCGAAAACTCATCTGAACCATGTAAGTTTTAAAAAGCATTTACAGACATAGCATAGTCATTAAGCTATAAACTCCTTATTAATAAAGCAGCAACATTGCAAGCACGTTGAAATTAAAAATGTAGAAAAAATGTGACTATATCATAGTACATAGATTGAAAATAAGGTCATCCAATGTCGTCCTAGATATTGCTGGTGAAGTGTCATCCAAGTATGTTTATAGTTTCAATATTAACACATTATGAGCAAATATTTGCAGAAAACAGTATAACATTCAGATAATATAAGTTAAGGTGTAGCCTGCATGAACAAATGGATTGAAGAATACCTAGTCGCTTTGCAATAATTACTTTTCAAAGCTGACCAGCAAATGTAATAAAGCATTTCTGCATGATGAACTGCAAATAACTTTGACCAATTATTCTTTTCCACCTGGTCGAGCAAGGAAACAAAAGAAAGAGAAGAATATTGGGGGCATGATGGATCTCTAGTGAGCAAATATACACTTTGAAGAAAGACCTTATGAGCCTCATGGTTCTCATCGCATAGACAGGAGCATTTTCCTGACAAGGTAAAAGAATGTCAGATCAGATAGAAAGTACAAAAGCAACTAAGAGCAGTCAAATCACAAAAAACAAAGCAATGTATATATAGTTGCATACTACCTAAGCTAATTAACATCTGCTGTAAGAGATTTCTTCGAATAAGCTCCCATTTAAAGCATATGAAACTGCTCATACACCCAGAATGAAGAGCCTCAAGAGTAAGATAGTGCCAACAGTTCAGTCTGTAGCAAGTGGCTGTAAATCCACAAGAACACAATCAAATTAGACCAAAGTCGTGACAGTTTTTTGTTTCACTTGACTCTTGTTATGAATTATAAGTGACCTAAATGAAGTGCTTACAGTTCAACTCCATAGCAGTATCAGACTGTGCATGCACAGTTTCGCAGCTTTTATTTAGAGAACGATATCTAGATCTGGTCAACCTTATGCCAGATTCTAAGTCCTTACCCTTCCTAATAATTACAGTCTCGATTGCATTTTCGTGTTTCCTACACTTTGTTGAAACCTCATCCACAATTGAATGAGCAGTTGCATGATAAGAAAGTGAATTAGCTTTGTGCTTGGCATGCTTAGAATCAACTACCTTGCGACCACTAAAAAAATTATTTCGTTCAGAGAGAGCCAACTTGTCAATGGCAGACTTGTAATTCTCTTTAGCAAGTGTTAACTCCTTTGAGATAGAATTTTCTAGATCACTACAAAACCGCTTTCTGTATATATCTCCAAAAAGCTTATCAATAGTAACTTCAAAAACAGCTCTGCACTTGCAAGAAGATGCACCGAAACTATCAGCCAACGCTTTCTTAGCTGCTTGAGTTTCCTTTTCAGCCATCTCCCATAGCTCCTGTTTAATGTAAATTTGACCTGTAAAAAAGTAGATGAGAAATAAAGCCAATGTAGCTCCTGATTATTGCATACATACGAATATAGGAACTAAACGAATCACCTATAATGCAAGAAAATGAAACTATGAAAAGTGGCAAGCTCTGAGAGCACGACATGACTTTTCCCGACTGTAGATAATCTTTGGCCACATCTTCATTTCCAAGAATCTCACTAATGATTCCAACCTATTGCAATATATGAACACACTAAGACTTCAGATTTTGCGCAAAGAATAGCATTTACAGTCAAGAGATAATTGAGATGCATGTAAGGACATAGACCTGTAGAGTGCTTTCAAGATAGCATTGGAGCACATTCCAAGGAGTGAGCATGCAGCTTTCTGAATCAAAAGAAAGACTTTCACAAAACAAAGCTTCTGTAGCAACTGAATCATATATTTGGAATGATGCAAGATGGTCGTTCCCATTCTGCTTCTCAATGTGATACAGGAACTTCCTATTTAGAAGGGCTTCTCATAAACGGTATGATGCTTTTGCATACGAAAAGGCCTGAATGCACAAATGATATTAGTATTGCACAATTTTGGGATACACCCGAATTATTTACAAAAGAATTTTGAGTTACTTCAGTTAGTTGTCCGCTTTGAATTAATCTTTCACTCAAGTCATAATAGAGATATGCTGAAAGGAAAGCTGAATCACTTGATAGAGGAACCTGACACAAAACAAAATTAAAATATAAACAAAAAACAAAGACCTCGGTCAACATAAACTATGATGAATAGAATATGCAGGTGCAAAGTAAATTTATCAAAACAGCTTACACTGGAAGGAAGATCTAATGCAGTGAGATTCACTTTATTATCTGAAACATCTGATTGTAGGAATCCGTTATAGTTACACGGATTTTGAGAAGAAAGAGAGAAAACCGCATGGAAGCTCTGATGAAACCCAACTAGTAATGGTTGTGATGCCTTCAGACAATTTGTCCAGTATTCTAAGGAATTGACAACTTCACCACAATGTTTTGATAATGCTTCGATGAAAATATCGTTAACAGGCAAAGCACAGAGAGCATGACTAAGTCTTCTATGTTTCCATAGCCATGACAACAATATCTCTAGTGGAATCTTTTTCAGTTTAGATAACTGTATGATCACCTCAAAAATTTCAATATGAGATTCCAAGTTTCCCTATAGTGGTAAATACACCAAAAAAAGGCACTATCAGGGGCCATCATATCTCCAAAAAATCCCATAATCATTACGCATATACTTTTCAGTAAGTACTGATAAGACATAGAATTAAAAGCCTACCTTAATTGATAATAAATCAATAATCTGATAGAGCAAATTCAACATGGCTTCTGACAACATATTACACTGACCAGATGGATGGCACACATGAGGGCTCATTAACACTCTAACTGCAGCATAAATATCTTCATAGAGCAGCTGTTAAGTAGAAATTCAAAATTAATTATCAATAAAATGCTTCATATGTTCACTTTATAGGGCATCTAAGTGAACTTCTGATCTAGCTAATACAAAAATTACAAGCAGAATGTAAACACGATAGCGATGGAGAAGATATATGGTGTATGTGTTCAGTTTAAAAGAGAGGAAATCAAGGTGGAGAAGCTCCAAGATTAACTGCTTTCAAGAGTTAATGGAAGAATTTTCCCTCTTACTCCCTTTCACTCTCTTAAAAAGACAAAAACATCAAATGTGTTTTTCCCGCTGTTTTTCAGGAATATCAGCCCAAATTATTACTCATATAAGAATGTATAACGCGTATGACAAGATAGTCTCTTTCATTGTAACACCTTTGAGTTTGGTTCAATCTCATTGGTACATAGTGCACGTATGCAATATGCCCGAGCAACTATATCGCAAGCTGAATCCGTGCAGCTATTTTTTTCACCTTCTCTTTCTTTTGCCGCAAAATGCTTTTCCTGGAAAAAGTACAGCATTCCTCTGTAACATTACTGTCAAAAATCAAGTACAAAAAACCCCAATGGACTCAAAACAGCAAACAAGAAAAACAAAAATCAACTAGAAATGGCTTACCATTGTAGATATTGCTTCAGATAGACACCAAATACAATCATGACAAAGTCCTTGACCTCTTAACACCTCAGATTTGGCAATAAGAACTCTAGATTTCTGCAAGTAAGTGTCCTCTGTAGCATATACTTTTTCTAAAAGAATGCTGATGATCTTCAGTCTCATTTTCTGACATAAACTTTGGTTCATACTTATCAAATCTTTATATGCTTGAAGCTCCTATAAAGTCAATATGAAAGACAATTAATTCCCAGCATTTTTACAAAGATGGACAATAATACCTTCGACACAATGAAAAAAGTGCAAAAATAGGAAGAATACAACCTCCTCTAGTATTAATCCTACAGTTCCTCTAAATTCTTCTGAAGATGATAATATAGGGTATAACAATGTGGCATCTTCCTCTATATCCACATCCTTGGGGAGTTCCAGTCTTATCTGACACATACGTCCAGGTTAGGAGAAGTATAGCATAAGGATTCTATCGATAACGCCGGGCATTAAAATGTTACCTTAACGGATTGTTTCACAATAACAGTGGGACCTGGAAGTGTGCCAAGCAAGCATTTTGCCACCGACCAGCTTTTGAGGCAATCAATGAGAATCTCCTCAACCTCATTACTGCTACAACTATGGTAGAGTAGATCCAAAAGGTTAGCAATTTTGGCAAATGCTTTATTAATGAATCCTATCATAAAATCTTCTGACAATTCATTTTGAAGCTCATTTGATATGTGTGAAAACTTTTCACAGCTCCTTAAGATGCATGCTGAAGATGCTTTGCTATATAACTTTAAAGCCTTGGAAGCCTGAGAAATGAGAGCAGGCATTTGGGAAGTTTTTTATCTAACTTAAGGAGTTGGTATTTGGTAAGGGATGGAAATAACAAAATTCCAGACCAAAATTCAAATTGAGAGATAATATGGACTCAATAAGCAAAGCTTGTGAGATTGGCATTCCAATAGCATCTTGTATATCAGCAAGTACCTCTATCATTTGTTTGCTGTTGTAAGATATAACAGCAACATTGTAAACATATGTACATAGATACTTAAGCCTATTGATGTGAATATCACTCTGAATGAAATATTCTAGAAACTTGACATTTTCCTGCAACAAAGATCCAAAAGTAATTGTTTAGTTTTAAAATAAATGCAGAATTTTTATCTTATGACCTAACACAAAAAGTGTTTATAAACTATTACTAGTCATTATACAATGTCAGGAATGAGGTGATCAGAAATTAGAAATTTCGGTGGCATAAAAAGCTAGGCAAACCTCCATATTGTGCTTTGTTCTCAAAGAGAGTGAAAAGGCAGCTACAGCTACATGTATGTTTCTACTTTTCTCATCACATTCCTTGTGCTTGCTGGAAGGTCCGCTGCATCAGTAAACCACTTAAATTCTATGCATAGTCATCGGTGGAATTGTTCAACCAAATGATAAAAACAGTGATAGAGATAACTGGATGTTGAATACCAAAAAGGTGGAATCATTCAACCAAAACCAAATAAATACTGATGAGAGAGAAATAGATACTGATCCTCGAAAGAGATAAACTAGTCTCAATGAAATGATTAAAACCAAAACATTTCAGTTACACTTGCAATAAAGTTGGTGCCGTCCTGCATGGTAAATGCATAATAGCATGGCTTACCTGTGGCATTGGATAAACACATGGCAGTATTGACTCAGGGCATCCTGGAAAATATATAGACTTTCCATTTCTGTAAACTTCTCCCCTTGTTCAGAATTAATCAACTGAGCTAGAGGATGGCATAAGAATTTTAAGGCATCAAAATATGATGGTAGGAATAGAACATGTTTATGTGGTGAGTTACTCTGTTTGATGCCAATATCTAAGCCATGTTTCAATAAATTGAGCAAAGATTTCAATTTCTGAATATTGTCCCCTTGACTAAGCAAAATCCTTGATGCAGATCCATCTTTCGTGTTTCCTTGGATGGTAGAGTGAGATGCAAAATGAAGGATAGACAAACTAGTTGCATAAATCCCAATAATCCATCCGGCAATAGACCCGCCCTTCAAAAGACTATTTGTCATAAATTGAACATATTTTCAACAAGTATAAAGAAGTTAACAAAAAAAATCACCAAGGTTGAAGTAGGCTACCTGATCGGGATCCACTGATTTATTTAATTTTCTTGTAAGATTAAGGGATAGTTCTTCAAAGTGCATTGCAACATCACTAGAAATACTTGTTATTATTCGACACTCATTTGCAGAATAACCTATTAGTTCCAGATATTTTATTATAGTGCTCTCACTGCCATCCTGCAAGGTAACATGTAGATATGCTAATACCACAGAGTGAATCCAGTGAGCTAAATCATCATTAATAGAAAAGAGTCACTATACAAGGTTAGTGTGGACAAAACATGCTGGAGTTTCAAAGATAATACAATATTATGGACAAATTCATTACCTTGCTTTCATTGGACATCGATTCCAGTACAAATTTTAAAAATTCTACAGTATCAGAAGCTTGTTGTTGTGCAAAGAGAGAAGAACATATATTACTTGCAAACTGCAGAAGAGATACAGGGCAGATGGATACATAAATATCTTTGCAGATGTAAATCAATAACAGCCCCAGAAAGTCAAATGTATTTTACCTTCCACACTTCATCTCTCTCAGATGATCCTCTATACAGATCAAATATTTGTTCGCAAAACCTGCGCACTAAATGCCAACCAAAGCGCACTGAATCCTTAGCCAGAAACAAAGCAATTCCGCTCAAATACTCCAGAAGCATCTGAAGCATTTTATCATGTGCATTAACTTCTAAAACCCTAACCATCACGCAATGGGGAACCTTTGTTAATATATCTGCTATAGAACTGTGTAAGACACATAAAGCTACAGTAGTTTTAACTGCAAAATCTAAAACTTGAACTGTTTTCTAAGTAATAAGATCAACTAAGGTAGAGGGATCAGAGAGCGGGAGGTGGGTGTGTCTCACTTGAACCAGGGGGAGGCTTCATTGACCAAATTGAGGATCCTATTATAATCTGAAGTGTCCTTGCTTTGCTTCAGCAAAGCACACCTGACAATTGTTATTGCAACGTTCAACACCATCCAAGCATACTCTTGGTCCACGTTTACTCCATTCAAAGGCCCCAACAACTCCCTCCTCTCTGAAACTGCCGATTTTGACCCTGCCCCTTCGAAGTAGCAATCTCCCTGAAGGTTGTCCAGTACAAGGAATGCTTCACGTTCTGCCTCTTCGTACATCTTCCATGCCTCCAGACAACCTATGAAACGCAATTTATGTTTTTGAACTGAGTAAGGTTTTGCGACCAGCTGCGAAGACACTAAATCGAGGCGGCATAGGCAGGGCCTATAAATTTTGAGCAGATGGAGCGCGGATTCCTCGGGAATTTTGGAGGTCTCGGAAAGGCGTTTGGGAAGTAGCGATAATGCTTTGATTAGAAACGGAAGGAATCGTTTAGTTAGAGCTCGGATGGCGGTAAAGTTCCCGGTGGATTTGGATGAGTTGTCGGGTTCAGCAATAGAGGAGAATTCGTAGAGGTACTGATTAAAACCTTCGTAGGTCCTTCCTGAGAACTCGACCGCAGATTGGAGTTCAAATAAGAGGTTAACGGATGTATCCGCGTCGGCGGCGGAGCCCATAACGGTTGTCGAGAATCGGCAGCAAATGAGAGTGAATGATGGGGGACTTGACTGAACTGCGAGTTTTTCTAGTGAGCGGGAAAATGAAGTCACTGTGCCAGTTTCAAATAGGATGATGAGAATTGAGAGGCCAGCACATGTGAAGCAGTTAAACTTACAAATCTACAAGCTCTTAGCTGCATCTATCTAGTGTTTGTTGGTTCTGATAAAAAAAAGGATCACATCCCGTCCCGAGAGCCCCAATACCTACCGGAGGATAGAATGTAAAGTGGACTATAATCACAATCTGACATATAGAGAGTGGATTTCTTTCATCTATACTTGCAGAGGTCCTATGTGCTTCAGTTACGTAGTGGCTGCTGAATGTTTATTTTCACTTTGCAGCATTTAAAGCGCTTGGTAAGACGATTCTTGATGTTGGGCTGTTGTTGGCTATCATTGTGATCAATACGGTAAGTTCTCAATGCCTACAGTACTTCTCTTTCCTGTATGTGTACATTAAACAGAACTTCCCCCTGCCTTTTATCCTTTATCTTGCTTGGTAATGAGCTGTATGTGGGGCTTTGTTTTACACTGTAAGAATGTCATGGCTATCATGGGCCAGGACTTGCATAGCAATGTGGCCGCTTGGATCCAAGACAATAGCAAATGAACATGATGGCCTTAAAAAAATACTTCAATCTAGATGTCCTAAAGGAAGACTGCTCTGCTACTTTCCTTCCCAGCAAAGGTAATCCACTTTAAGTTCTGCTCTCTCTTTTCTGCACCAATTATGCACTCGATCATCTCACACAAGTTATAAATATTTTATATTCCATGTGTTTATTGTGATGTTAAACATTGTAATCACTGAATTTGCTGGTTTTATCTGTCTTGAAAGGTGAGTTTTGATTGTAACAGAATGATCAAATTTGGCATTTCACTTGTGGTTGACTTGTGTGTTATAAAAGTTTACCCTTATTTGTTTATTTGTAGGCTTGAATGCAAAGGGGTGATTATGAGTGTGGATATTATGTTATTAGACATATGGCTATGATTGTTTTGGTTGGTATTTTTGATTTATGGATGAAGGTGATAAGTTTTAGCTTATTTTTCACATATACTTTTCATTTTTATTGGTACGGTGCTATTTCTTTTACTTCAGTTTTGTATTTATTCATTGACTTTCGTTATTTAATTTGTAGGCATTTAACGTTCAAGATTCATTCACTGATCAAGAGATCAATGAGACACGGGAGCGTTGGGCGTCATTTTTCTGCGAAGCTACGAACATTTGATGATTTTTATAGCATATTAGTATTAATTTAGTAGTAGTACATGTTGTGAACTAATAGCTAGTTTTTTCTTAGTGTTGTGAAGTCATAGTTAGTTTTTGCTAAGTGTTGTGAACTCATAGCTAGTTTTTGTTGAATAATACAATGTGGATTGTGAATTTTTGTTAGTTATAATTAATGATACGTGTTTGTGTTATGATAAATGTTAGGGAGAACTATCAAATAAGCCCTCGAACTTTCATAAAAAGTGCAAATAAGCCCTTTTATAGGAGGCTCTGTCCGGCCGTCGCCATTTAGGGCGGTATCCGGTAAAAAAAATTGATGAATTTTTTTTACCATATTCTTCATTAAGTCTAGTTTACTCATACCAAATTTCACCTAAATATTCAATCGGGAAGGCAGACAAATGAATTTTTGAATATAACTGCGCAGTTAGACAGCGTAGTATATTTCAGAAAATCATCTGACTTCCTTCTCGATTGAATTTTTAGCTGAAATTTGGTATGGATAAACTAGACTTAATGAAGAAGATACTCAAAAAAATGCATCAAAAAATTCCACCGGAAACCTCCCCAAATGGTGAAGCCGGACAAAGCCTCCTGTAAAAGGGCTTATTTGCACTTTTTATGAAAGTTCGAGAGCTTATTTGATAATTCTCCCTAAATGTTATTTTTATAATATGTGTAAATTAGTGACTTTGGAAACAACCTGGTGTAAATTAGGTTTTATATACATGAAAATATTTCTTCAAGGTTCGTTTAATCCCATGTAGAAGACATACAATAACGGTTAATATTCAGTTGATATTGAAAATTTCAATAATGGTTCAGCTTCAAACGTTATAGAATATCTTTCGTAACGGTTACACGAGTACTTATTAAATGTACCAAACTTTTAATATGTGGTGATATAATAACGGTTCGGAACCGTTATTAAAAATTCGTTTTGACCTTTATTAAATCCATATTTTCCATTAGTGAGGATAATATATAGAGGCGAAAGAATGAGAGATGTGACCATACAATATAATGATTTAGTAACTAATTATGGTTGAATGTTTAATTATAAGAGAGCTATTTTCAATATATTGGTGAAATACGTGATACGACTTATTTATAAAAATATGACTACAATTACTATGGGGGTGTTTGAAACTGATTCTGATTCTGATTCTTTTTTAAAGCAGAAGCAGAATCAGAATCAGTTTTCAGAAGCTGGTCACCCCCAGCTTCTAAAAAAACTGATTCTTGGAGTAAATTAGAGCACTAGAATCACTTCTTCACTTTTACCCAAACACTCTTACTTCTGCTTCTGCTCCCTGAAGGAGCAGAAGAAGCAGAAGCAGTTTTAAGAATTAAATCCAAATAACCCCTATATAGTACGTAGTACTAGTATATGTTTATACCAACAACACTAGTGGATCATCTGGAAAAATAAAGGATCATCTTAGAAGATATAGAGGGCCATATTATAAAGGTTTGAAGGTAGTATGTAGCCCATTGCGCGTAAGATGAAGACGTTTTGTTTTTATAAATCCTTCTTTGTTTATAGTAGTACTATAAGCTACAGAGAACATCAAGCCATGAATATAATGCTTTGAAACTCTAACATTGATTACTAATGTATTTACACATTGGAGATGAAAATATGCACTAGCGCATGCATGTAACCGATTAGGGGATGACCAAGTGTGATGTGGAAATTGATTTTCCATTGACTATAAAATGGGAAAAAAAGATGCAACATTTTAAAGAATAGGAATGTTTTTATTTAGATTGAAATTTTTTGATCTAGACTTATATGGTCTGCTATGATCTGTTTAAGTCTACTCTGGTCTGTTAGATCTCTTATCTCCTTGTATTTTACAACTGTCTGAGTCTGATCTGTTAAAGTCTTATCTGATCAGATCAATTTAAATTTGGTTAGGTGTGGTCTAATTACTTTCATTGAAAGGCGATAGTCAAGGTTTCCACTGCTTTCTGGAACGTTGCCAGACTAGCCAGGGCTTGTGTCGAATCCACACTCGGGATGAGATTCACAGTTGTTGGTGTCTGGAATTGCGGCTTGCGCATTACAGGACGCCTTGAGATCTCAGCACCTTGTAGGTGGTTCCTCAAATCGCCTTGAGTCACCATGTTATCGTTTCTTGTCCGGAATCGCTACGGCGTGAGCGAGACCCTTAGTCTTCAATCACGACTTGATCCATTCGAGCACCACCTTGATTGTTGCCAACACAGTGGTGACTTTGTGATTGTAACGCCCGTGCTTTTTATCTACTTCTTATGTGCTAATCGTTTTCATTATGATCGTGTTTTAACTTATGTTTGAGTGCTATATGTGTGAAGTGTAGGGATAGCATGATTATGAACCTTATGAAAATGATATTTGAACTCACATGCTTGTATTGTGTTTGAACGTGACAGGCGACGGTATCTGATGAGCAACGAAATTACATTATAATAATCATTTGTATTTTTGAATGTAATGGTATATCAAGGTATTTGTCATGTTAGATAGTATTTGGGTGTTTAAAATATATTTTAAAAGGTCATAGGGGGTCTATGATGGGATCGGTAACAATCGGGGTCGGTTTAGGGCGAAAAGGGCATTTTGGCACCCCGGGGTGCCGGACGGGCACCGGTTGGGGCCAAACCGGCGCCGGTTCAAAACGGAAAGTCTAGGGTGCTGGTTTGGCATGGCAACCGGCGCCGGTCAGGGGCAAACCGGCGCCGGTTCGGGCGGTTTTCCCAGTCGGTGCAAAGCCTATTTTTAGCAAAAAAATCCCCTTTCAACCCCAATTTCGACCTGAGCTCGTCCCTCTCTCTACAAGCAACCCCAAAACCCTTCCTAAGGTGATTTAAGCTCAAAATAAACATATCTTTCATCAAGGATCATTAATTGGTAAGATTTTACACTCTATATGAAGTATTTATTCTATGTTTGATTCATAGTTCTTGTTTTTAGATTATACTAGGGTTGGGTGAGTTTTGGGTTGATTCTAAGAAATTAATGAATTTGTGGATGATAGGAAGGATGTATAGTGGTTATTTATCCTTGGTTTAAGAAGCTTTAAATCTATTTTTGAATAACTAGCTATATCAAAACTATGTCAATTTGATGAAAGAATTTGGGGAATCTTTTAATATGTATAAGCTGATTTTAAGTAGATGTGTAGAACCCTTGATAGTATGGTTATTGGTTAGTTGTTGTTGACTCTTGATTATGAAGTTCAATCGGGAGTTGGTTGTCT